TTCACAATGTGGACATTGAAATTTTTTAAAAGATTTTGTGAATGAATTTTTATTGTTTGGTGTTGATTCCGATAAATTATTGATTTCTTGTTGATATTTCCAAAGACTTAAAATAATTGAAATTAGCTTGTTTTTATTTTTAAAAACAAAAAAAAAAAAAAAGATTTTCATACGCATCATCTTCATCATCATCAATATCTTCTTCAATCATAATCATTTCATCATTTCCATTTGGAAGAACTTCACCATATGATTGTACATTATCAATTAAAAGTGCTGATAAACCATTATCATCATCGTTATTATTATTATTATTATTATTATTGTGTATGACGTCTTCTTCTGTATGTGAAGAATAAGTTCTATGACTTTGTATTTCATGTTGTGAAATATCTTTTAACCAAGATGTTGTATATGAACAATATTTACATTGATATGTTTTTGTAAAATTTTCAACTGTTGTTGTTGTTGTTGGTGGTGGTGGTGGTGGTAGTTGTGAAGGTAAAGATTTAACTTTAAGACGAATTTTATAATGTCCTGTTGCTGATGGTGGTAATGGTACATTTGTATCAAGTTTTCCAACATATCGACCAGCTTGTGCATGACTTATTTCATGTTTTCGACGTATATGTGCTGTACAATCATGAAAATTCTATTAAATAAAAATGTTTAAAAAAAGTTAGAAAAAAAAATTGTTTTTTTGTTTTTTTGGTTAAAATTACTTTATAAGTTAAATGACAAATTCGACATTGAAAATTTTTTTGAATTGGTTGTATTGTTGAAGAATAAAATGAAGGTGATGGAAGAGTAGGAGTTGAATTAATTGGTTTTGTTGGACTATTCGTACTTTTTGGTGCTATTGGTCGTTGTGAACTAATATTTGAATGTGCAAAATTTTCATTATGAATTATATTAGGCTAAATTTAAAAAAATAAAATAATTCTTTTATATTTGATAGAAATAAAAAAGAAAAAGCAAACCTCAGTAAATCTTCGATCATTTTTATCTGCTGTGATAACACGATTCCAAAAATGAATAGAACCTAAGTAGAAAGGGAAAAAAAAAGTCAATTTACAATTTTCTTTCTTTTTTCCATAACGAATAAAGAGGAAAAAACCTGGATCGACATTTGATTGTTTAAATATTGGTAATGATTGTCGTGGTGCTTGAGAAATAATCTTCACAACAAAATAGTTTTAGAGTAAAAAAAAAAAAGTCTTTTCTTTAAAAGCATACTTGATGACTAAATGCCGGTTTACGTCTCGATCTTTTTTCAGTTGATAATAATGATACATTTTTTGGTGGTGCTTCACTTTTACTGGCTGTTTCTAAATGTAAAACAGAAAACGTTATTTAAAAAAAAAAAAAGATGATTGATGATATCTATAAACAAACCTTCACTATGTGCTTCATTTAAATGACTAATTAATTCTGGCAAGCTAGTGCCATTGAAACTACATTCAGGACAAATAAACGCTGTACCATCTGTGTCGACAGTAGTATCCATCATCATTTTTGTTATTTTTCTTATCTGAAATAAAATTTACGAAAACGAAATAGAATTGACCATCGACAAGATTACTGCCTCTCTCTCTCTTCTTCTAATACAATGATTGTGCGCGTGTATACTGCCGTTGTCTATCATTAGAAGAAAAAGGAAAAAAGAAGAATAGATGTATGTGCGTCATGTGGGGAGAGACAGACAAAACAACAAGACATGCAGTAGGAGATAGATTATGTATTTTGAATCTTTTTTTTCTTAGACATAGAATATACATGGTCAAAATAATATTATTTTCTTCAATGTATAGTCTTTTTTTCAAAAAAAAAGATAAATGAATATAGTATTTGTATATCTGTTTATGCACATAGTGTTCTTTCTGTTTCAAGTAAACAACAGACACATACCTTAGTAGTTACCTCAATCTTTCTTTTTTTCTCTTTCCCTTTGTATGCAACATCGAACGAGTATAGTTAGAATGTCTGCCAAGGTTCGCGCGTAATGTGCTCTGGCACAGCCGACAACTATTGCAGCTTGCTTCGACGGGAAGCAACATTGTCAATTTCTTGCCTGTTCTTCCTCTCTGCTTTTGGGAAGAGAGTGCAAGTAAGGGCATATGCACGACTTAACTATAGATGCTGCCTGAAGAATGAAAGCAAGTACTCATGCCCAACATCATATAATGATGATAGTGATGATGATGAAAAAGAATAGCGCAAGTAGAAATGGTGTCTATGTTAAGAAAAAAAGAAACGAGCACATGTAATAAGGATGGACTTGGCCAACTGTTTTTTCTTTTTACTAGACATATAAAGACAGCCATAAATCATACACATCACCCGCTACTTTCACATTATAAAACGAGATGTAAAATCAGAAAAAAAAATACATAATACATTAGAATAGAAGAAAAAAAAGAACTATATCCATCAATCGATTACTCGAACTGGACATAAAAAAGGATGAATAAAGACAAGAAGAAGAAGAACAATAACTATCTACTACATCATGTCACCTTTCTATTTTGACCAATCTCTTTCCTCTCCTCTCTCGTTCTTTCCTCATTTCCTACGACTTCCTGCGCCCTTATTTCATTAGATCACATGTCCTTTAATGCTGACAGAAAAATGGAAAAAATATTCCTTTTCCCATCATCATTGATACAATCTATAGTATAAATTTTCGTTATTCAAGCATTGTTTTTTTCCATCTACTTAATTAAAGCAACTTTCTATTTGTCATCTTGTTTTACTTTTTTCTTAAAAAAAAAAAAAAAAAAAAAAAAAAAAAAAAATTGCTAATGAATTTTACCTAATGAAAACGATCTTAATCAATTACTTCGTCAGTCATTTAAATGATGAAAATAATACAAGCTTACTTAACGTGTATCTATTTTTCGTATAACAATGTATGCATGGTATTTGTTTCAAACAAGAAACAATCGTTACTGTTATAACCCTTACTATAGCGGGTTGTTTACTGAATGAATTCTTCTCTTTTTCCCCTACCCTTTTATTCGTTCGCCCATCTCCTAGATTGCTGCTGCTGCTGCTATTACTATTCTATACTGGTGCGTATGCCGAGGAAGAGAACACGTCCGCTCGCTTGCAAGGATAGAAGAGCACAAGCACGCATACACACACATACTAAAAGCCAATGCATTTGTTTGCCCGTTCATCACATCGTATGGACGGACGGAGGAATAGATGGATAGACGAGAGGAGAATATAAGCGAACGAAGAATCGAACGACGATTATCATCTTCTCAGATGCTTCCCGAAAGCAATGGTCGACAGGCTGACTGTAAGCGTGCATACGGCGTCAGCTTTTCTCTTTTGTCTGTCCGTGTTCTCGACACAGGTAGATGTGAGAATGAGTGGGTGTATATGCTTGCTGCGAAAGAGAAGAACAGACGAATGAGGCAATGGCTGATAGTTAGTCTACTGAGAGAGATCGGGAGAAACGATTGCAACCAGTAGGAATACCGACATTTTACTTGATGATTGCGTGATAAAGTAAACTGATGTTGTGCGTCGTATGAATGTGTGAAATGCAAAAAAATGCCATTTGATATAGAAACAACTTGAGTGTCACAGAAAAAGAAAAAGACTACAAATAAATATTATTTATTGGGTTTTCGATTTTTTAATCAAAAGAAAACATTTTTATTCTATATTCAATAGTAATCTTTTGTTAGAAGAATATTGTTTTTTTTTGTTTCTTTTTTTAATCAAAACAAATATATTTTAACACTTCTCTTTATAATATAATATTATGAATAAGTTATTTAAAATGTGTAAAATTGTTGCAGACAACTATCCAGATATTTTATTGATTGTATAGAATATTCCATATTTTGATTGTTCATTTATATTATGTATATATTTGAAATACAATAATGACACATGATTCTTTTGAAATATTCAACTGAAAATGATATTTAAGATATGAAATTCAATGTACTATGTTCAGGAATTTTTGTTTTCATTGAAAAAATGTGTTTAGACAATTTAGTCTTTCTCAAGCAGATATTCTTATTGAAAATTGTGATTTTTTATCGCCATTATTGACTATGGTTTTTTTTTTGCATCTAGTTTTCTCGCATGTTGACCAGAAAAGTGAATAAACAATCATTTCAATGAAAAATTGTTCAATATATCTCAAAATATTGGATTTTTTAATATTTATGAACGTAAATAAATACTTTTTACCGATTTTTTTCTTGTTAAATTAGATTGTTTTTGTAAAAATTCAAAATGGTTGGTTATCTTCAGTGTTGGATATAGCCGCTTTGCTTGGTCTTATATATAAAAAAAAAATAAATATTATGAAAAAGACTTCCAAATCAATGAGCAATAAATTTAGGTTTGATGAATTGTTTTTCTAGCATGTAAAATATTTCAAGCTGGAAGGTCAAGGACTTCAAAATATTTTCAACTTAATTAAACTCACAAGAAAATTGAATTAGGTTAAAATTTTCTAATTGAAATATTTAACTTTCGCTTTTTTTTGAAGTTTTTCAGGATTAAATTACAAATTGGAAGCATTTTTTCAAGTACACAATAGACTAATTTCTGTATTATCTATTCACTTCACTAAGCATAATAAGAGCAAAAATAACTATTTCATAACAACAGAAGAAGCATGAAGAAGTTGAACCTTTAGAAATACTTCGAGTGCAATATTCATGCATTTAAAAGCATTATCGCTGCACTAGGTTTAAATAATTAAAATAGGAAGAAGTTCATTGTGAGAAGAATTTCACGTGAGTTGCAAGGTATTATCAAACTTTCGAAGTTCCTTATTAATACATTCGTTTTTGTGTTCATTATTAGTTAAAAGTGAAATATAAAAGCCATCAACTTAATCAATCTTTTATTGCTTTTAGCGAAAATGTAATTATTCTATCAAATTCAAAAAAAGTAGAGTCACTCAAAATGACTTTTTCTTTTTTATACATAAAATAAAAGTTAAAAAAAGAAACCAATTTGTTTATTTATTAATGTTGTTGACTTTGAAATACTTTCTTCATATTATCATTAAATTTCATAAAATGTTTATCAACATCTTCACGTGAGTTCGTTTTTCTTGCTTCATCTGAAAATTTATAAACAATTTCTTGTTCCCATTTTTTAAACGTTCAAATGTTGCTTGACAATATCCAACAAGTGGTTCACCAAATGAATGACTACCACCAAGATTTGTTTGAACAGCTGGTGGTACAATTTCATAAACTTGAATGTTCTTTGTTTTGTTCATTAATTAATAGCGAAGACTCATTGTAAATGCATGTATAGCAGCTTTTGTTGCTGAATAAATTGATATTGATGCTAATGGTATAAAAGCTAAACCTGACGATACATTAATGATAGCTGTCGTTGTTTTCATATGTCGAAAATGTCGTATAAATAGATGAGATAAATGCATTGATGCAAATATATTTATTTGAATTTCTTTTTCTCGTTCCTCCTAGGAAATGTTTTCTGAAGATATTTCATTTGAAATAAACGTAGCGCGTTGTTGAATTCCTGCATTATTCATAAGAATATTTGTTTGAGGATATTCACAAGTTATCCATTCATATAAAGCTTGTCTTTTCGTTAGGTTTCTCAATATCATTAACACGAAAGATTACTTTTTTTTCTTTCCAATTCAATTTAATTCATCAGCAGCTTCTTTTAATCGTTGTTCAGGACGACCTGTTATTATAACACTAGTACCTGCTTGAATAAAACATTGTGCAAGATCAAAACTAATACCACTTGAACCACCAGTAATGAGAACAATTGAAGATCCGATATCTAATGATTGTGAATAACACTCATCAGCCATTCTGTGTTTAATCAAATAGAAAATACTTGAATGTGAGCAGTAGAAAGAAAAAAATGTTTAACTACAAAAAGGAAGAATGAGATGGCACGCTCTCACTTTTACATCTAGGTTTTACATAGCACGCACTTAATTTTTTTCTTTTCTTGTTCTGTAGTGGTTGCTTTGCGCAACCATGTCTACTCATTTTTTTTTCTTTAGTTAAATTTCTATGAAGTGTGTCATGCTTAATAAACACACGAAGAAAACAGTACAAATATTTGTTGCTAAATGATACTTTTTAATCTCGTGCAAACGAGTTTCTTTTGTTTTCTAACGATATTACGGTGAGAAAGAAAAGTAATAGTTTTTCTTCTTGTCGTTCATTTACTGACGATTAGATTCAGCATCTGTATAGTTAAGCATTGAAGGAAAAAAGATATTAACACACTAACGAGTTTTTGAGTAGAAAAAGACTTGCAATCGATTCCGAGTCATATTGCGAAAAAAAAGTTCTAATTTTTTTACATCAGAATGAAACTGATATACAAAATCAATTTTAATCAGAGACACAAACCATGTTATGGACATTTTACTCATAAAACTATGAGATTATAAGAGTGAGAAACTGTTTTTATTTAATGAATATATCTATGCTGTAAGTTATTCAATTAGTCCATCTAGATTTATTAAAGTTAGCATAAATTGTTTATTGATTGATGAAAAATTCACATAGTAAACATCATTCAATTCTAACCTTAAACGATAAATATAATCTTCCTATAATATTATGGGAATAAATATATGAAGCAATTCATAAAAAGGCGACTTGAATAAAAAAAAACATATGGTTCTATTTATAAAATAGTTGAATTTAAAATAATTACTTCCATAGTCTGCACCTGATAAATATTTAATCAGCTACAAAATAAAGGATTCAATGTATATAAATAAATATGTGAATGAAAGAGTAGTAATTAAACAAAGAAGATGATTGTTGAAGCAAAAAGTATGATTCGTTGATGAGTAAAAAAACAGATGATTTAAGTACTTGACAAAGGGTCATACAACTCAAGTATGAATCAATAAATGTAAATCTTCAAATAAATTCTGTGCTCATTATAAAAAAATCTATAAAGAAAATATATTTATGCTTATTTACCACTAAGAGTTTTATGTTTTCAGACTTGTTTTGTCAAAAGTCATTTTTCTTTTCTGAATTGCTCAACTAATACAACCTATAGGTGGTTTTAGACAAAATATGCAACGATTAAAATTATCAAAAAGCACTTAGTAAAGAAACTAAAAACCATTTACTTGCCACAAAAATGGCACTAAATACGATGAAACTAGAACAGGCGAAACGGTGAACATCTTGTCTAGAAGCATAATGTGTACTCGTCTATGTCAGCAAGCGTGATGAACATTAGGAAAAAGTTTTCTCTGTAGAAAAGGGAACACAAACTTTATAAGAAGCTCATTCTTTTGCTAATGTATTCCACTATTCAATGAATTTTTTGTTCTCTGCATGCATTAAATCATCTATTATTTCCCTTTTTTTAACTTTCTACATCCCTTCTAGTTTCTTCGTTTATTGCAGTAAAAGAAAATTTTAAGACGCCCTTTCCCTTTCCAGACACATTATTTTGTTTTTTTTTGCTCGACATCTACTTCTAGGCGTCCTCTATCTATCGACCTGTTTGAAAAACTCAAATATACTTTTAAAGTTAAGAGAAAAGAAGTCGCAAAGATAAACGTTTTCTATATGAAAATAGTATTGGGAGTATTTTTATCAGAGTGTTCTGAGAATCTCTTTTAACGAAAAGCATGCAGTATTTTTCGCGTGTCTTAAACATCGAACATTCAATCGCGTTGCAACTTCTGTCATGAATATCAGATAGTATTTTCAATGTAAAAAAGGAAGAAAGATAAAAAGAAATCAAAAACGTAGACAATCGAAAGCTTTTCTAGTATTTATGAAAGAATTCCAGTTTAAATGAATGTACTACCTCAGAGAAACGGATCCGCAGAAGCAAATGAGGCTGTTATGACCTACATATCTCCGTGAAGGAAGTATCTGGGAATTTGAAGTCCTTTCAAATTTTACTGTACTCATTGAGATCTATGAACTGTTTAGGTTTCAATTCCTTCTGATAAGTCGTTCTTCGAAAGTATCGGAACGAACGGTGTCCTCTTAAATAAAACAAAACTAATATGTTTTTTTTTGTTGTCATTGAAATGATCATAAGGATAAAATGAAAAATCATTGATGAGGCCACGAAATTTTTTGTAAAACTATGAATATTTATTATTATTTCTTCGATTATCCATTGCTCTAGATTAGAGATATACCGAGACCGAGATCAAATCAAGAGTCTCGATCTACATCAATGGCAATTAGGTTTAGAGGAAGATTAGTCATCGTTCCACTAGACAGCAGCTAGTAACCCAAAATTTAACAATTTGATTTTCTGATGGAGGAATCCGAATCTATACATAATTGTTCAAATTTTTGAATTTGATTTCTTAATCAGGAAAGAGTCTGTTAGCGAACATAACGATGCTTTATAAAACTTGCCGAAATCATAGAAAAGTGGTCTTCTCTGTCTAAAAACGACTCAGCTCGAAAACTTCGATAAACCATCTGTGGCTTCGAATTCCTCAATCTCAACAATCTTTAAACAAGTTGTATAAAAATGAATTGTCGTTTTCTTAAAATAGACGTACCTTGACTAAAAAGTCCTATTGATATTGGTTCCATTACCTGCTACTCAGTAACACAAGGGTAATTGAATACTCCTACTTATAGAGAAGCATCTAGAAATTTCGATTTTATGGTAATTTTTGATCTATTCATCGAGATTTGCTCGTCCCAAATTAAAGAAAATTTGTTTAAGATCAATTTTCTAAGAGCTCTAAAAAGAAAAATCTTTCTCTTAAAACTAAAACCGAGATTATTAGAAACAAAATTTCTTGATTTCAATACATGCCTAGTCTAGATAAGTAGAGTACTACTGATACAAAACTGTGTAAACTACATACCATCCATATTAAACAGGCACTGTTCTAATCTACTCTATATACAGAAATGAGACCATCTACATCGACTAGTATGACGCTCTTTTATCTTCTTATCATATAAGAATAGATATGTTAAAATACAATGATAAAAAGCATTCATTTACTGTCTTTGTACAAGGAAGCTGCATGCATTTTCTATTTTACTCCATTATACGATCATGAAGATAAATAATGGTAATGCTGAGATATTAGATACGATAAAATATCAATGCATACTGAGAAATACGAAACGTATACGGACTTCCTATTCGTCCATCTGGGTGTTCTACACTTAATTCATACATAATTCATGCATATTATGTTTAGATACATTCTCAATAAACTCAGAAGCGATGCCAAGTGGTTCAATAAATTGTCTTAAAAACGTGTGCTCTCCAACCTAATTATTTTTTTCTTTTCATTTTTTGCTAATATTATTTTAGTTTTTTCCACCTTGTTGAACGTTATTTTTATTTTTATTTTTTTCTATTCTCTTAAATAATTAATGCTGTTCAGGTGAGTGCATTCGGTTCGGATCCGGTCGGAAAACTTCAGAAATCGGTGGAGTGTGGAAGTAATAGTTCAGGCCAGAAAGTCATCGAAAAAATCAGCAACTTTCCAGTTCGGATCACTGCTTCCGCATTCCATCGATTTATGGAGTTTTTCGGCTGAATATTATGATTTTTCTATATTTTTTTCAAGCAGTTCCGACAAAACTCGCTTGTTTCCATAGGTTGCAATTATCGATCTAGTTACGTACAACATAATAAGAATATGAGATTGTTTCTATTTATATCATATTTAAATTATCGCTTAAAATGCTGTGTAAATTGTTTCCGTGGGTGAGTATTAAATCAAACAATGAATCTTAGCGTGATATTTCTTTCTCGCAATTCTTTTCTCCTTCTTATACAGACTATTTTTTAAAGTTTTTACGATAGAGCTTGTGTCGAATACTGTAAATAGCTATGCTGATAAGAAATTTCATGTCAATTCACATTACATCATTGATAATCATCGTCTATTTTTTGTTCTGAATCTTTGGCTAACTTCATTATTTGGTTCTAGTATTTTTTTATGTTCTTGGATTGAATATATTGTTCATTCGCGTTCCAAACGCAATCTAAGTTTTCAGAGATGGAATCTATTCGATTTGATTGCATCTCTGAAATCTATATACCATTTGAATTTAGTTTTTGCGAAAAAATTGACTAATGATTCATACACTACTTACATAACAGATTTGATCAATCATGTAAAACTTAGTATAACAAAAGAGATACTTCAGAGAATATGATCGATGATAGCTACATTTTATTGGAAAACAATTATTCGAGAAACTTTTTCATAGATTTGGGAATTGTATTGTATAGTTCATGATAAATAATGGAATATTATTTATCGTGAAACAAGGTTTCAATGAAACACATGGGGACGAAATAATAATTTGTGATTGAAAACTGTGATGTTGTAGTTGCATGTTTGAACATATTTCAAAATCTGTAGTTCATTATATAATTCTAGCTTCGAACGTTATTAAACAGTTAAAATTTCGAAGTGAAAATTCACAATCAAAATCAACAAATTCATGCTGTGTGTTTTTTTTTTGTTAATCTAATTTTTGCATCAATACATGGTCATGATCACTATGATGCAAATGATATTTGAATTCTTACTTTTATCAAAGGATCCCAAGTTTTTTCTATGTAAATAAGTCTATTATAGAGTTAGCTTTTTTCAATGATTCGTCAGATAACAATGGAAATTCCAAACGATCTAAATTTCTTTCATATGTACAGATTCATGCTATGTGCAAATAATTAAGAAAAACGTAGTCCTAACCAAAAAGTAAATCATCTATAGACATTTTCAGAGAAAAAAGAAAACATCATTATAAACATTATTATCACTAGTCCTTACGCAAAAAGATGTTGATTTAGACAATCATTGCACGAGCAACACGAGTGATTGAGACCTTAGAAAAAGTATTTTCATGCCTTCACCAATGAGACTTTCGCCAACGGTTCGGCAAAAATTTTGTGAACTTTCATCAATTGTTGCGAAACAGTATAAATGCTAAATATACGTAAAAATAATATGTCCAATGTTAGGAAAATGTATCTTGATGCTAATAATCAAAATATGTTCAAATATGAATTTGACTTTGAAACATCATTTTTAGTTTTATTTCTATCGACATTTTCGAATTAATGTACTAATAAATGTTTTTGTGGGTGTCGAAGGTGACGTTGTTGAACCCATGACCTTGAATCGAAATGCTAGAACACGAGATATGACAAGGATTTAACAAAACAATGATTATCTGAAATAGTTCAAAATATACAATATATCAGTAAAATGTTTTACTATAATATATATTTAATTATATATTAGAGATATTGTAATTTAAACTAACTATTAAACGAGAATTTTGAATACAATCGTCCTAGTAAAATCTGCAACATCAGATGAATTTTCCAATTAAGACACAGACAAATATCATCTATAAATGTAATTGATGCAAAGCTCTATGATCAATACCAAAATTACTTCATTTGACTAAAGTGCAAAGGAATGTGTTTTAATGAAAGTATTATTTGCGAAGTTTCAATAACCGAACTAATTACTCAATTTATATATACATGACCTTGTTTTGACTAGTCATTTGACATTATCGACATGGTCACCAAATAATCTTATAAATCCAATGATAGACACTATGATTGATACTATGTCGTTTACATATCCGGCCTCAAATCTATTATGAAATTAAGTGACATAGTCATTAAGAAGAAGATTTGCTGGCATGTTTTTCTGATAAATTAAACTTTGAGTGTAATTTATTCATTAACAAATGCAAGTCCATCAAAATTAATACGATTCTTCTGATTGAATTTCTCATATAATTGAGTAGACTATATGATATTTCACTAAGACAAAACTAAATTTCTACTATTTTTACATTTATTTCAAAAATATGATTGTTAACAAAATGACATAAAAAGAAAAAAAACATAAGGATATCTTGAAACAAAGAACGTCAGCGAAGTATTGATGAATGTATATAGAATAACTAATATTCAAAATATAATTTACAGAAAGAAAAGAATAATGAAATTTACATAAGCAATCATGTTCAATAATATCTGACATATTTTGAAAGAAAATTATATGAACATTTTGAGTTATTAGACATTAATAAAAAAGAAGAACAGAATAGATGTTCGAGCTTAATTACTGTGGAAGATGACGAGGTTTTTCCTAATTTAAATATATGTATTTATATGTTTCGAGAAATCTCGTGTCGTTCACATTTTCAAAAAAAAAAAAACAAGGTCATTATTATCGAAATGGTCAAGACTAAAGAAGACTCAACAAAAGATGTTATAACACCTACATTTACAAATATCCACATGATCATTCATAGATTTATTTAAGCGTATTGAGTTTCAAAATGTTATAGCTTAAAATTTAGGATTGAAGAAACGTGAGCAAATGTTACAAATATAGTGTCACAATTTAAATGGCAGAGAAAAGTATTTCATACATTGTCAAGTGAAAGCAGATAAGATTTGATAGAAATTCAATTTGATACCTTCAAAACTTGGAAAATTAAAGTTGTTTTATAAGCGCTAAAAATTTTCTTGTAGTGACTCCAAGGCTTGTCAAGCATTAAATCATCTATTTTGAAGTTTTAGCATGGTTTTTCTTTTTTCATAACATTTCCTCACATGAAACCTTCCTGTCACAAGTAAGTTTATCATCAAACATTATTTATTTTGATTAAATATAGAAAGATACAACGAGTTCGAGGTTTCGGCATGATGCACTATAATTGACTTAAGAGATTCAATTCTACATTAGAAGTATAGATGGGTGTGGGTGTGGGGTCTGGGGTCTGGATGACGGATGTGGCGTGGGTGTGGAACATCAGATGATCATAGCCACACCCACCGACGCACACACACACACTCACACCCTAATTAGCATCTTTTAGATACATGTCACCCATTTTTGACATTGTACTTTTTTGTTTGTAAATTATTGAATGCCATTCTTTTCTCTCGCTCACGTATATATAGTTTAATAGAGCTTGACGAATTTGTCACGAATATAAGACTTTTACTTCTATGCAACCACTGTTTCGCGGAAAAGAACCGTACAAAACTCGAATGATTGAAAATGCAGCATCAGTACCTATAAACTCGCTTTTTTTCTCAGAAATTGTGAAATTTAGATTATGTCTTTTTTTCAAACTTTATGGAAAAATTTTATTCTGATTCCGCATCAAAAACACAGTAGAACAATGTTACTTGACTAGATTAATAGTTAACAAGGTAAACTGAAATCCTGTAGAGTACCGATAGATCCAACATGCCTCATAGCACCTAATTGCAAGTACTCTTGTAAACTTATCTAAAGAACAAGTATCTTATTTCATTAGAATCATTAGGTTGTGAACTACATCAGTACTTATTTAGTTTTTGCTAGACTATATTCTATCGTCGACAAGATAAAGTTATTTTCTCATCTGGTTATAAAATCAGACAAAAGAATAGCAATGTGCTTATAATTATCAGTTTTCATTACCATTGTCTTTTTTCTCTGCAAAAAATCGACCTTGAGAGAAGTAGAGATAACGTTTCAGAAAAATAGACTTGTGATGAATTATATGAGTGTTTTCCATCGGACACAGTTTATACTAAAATATATGATTCGATGCAATTTTGAACGCTTATCTCGAATATGCTATTGATTTCGGATTTAATTGAATCACAGTAATGAAAACTGCTAATTGTTAGCACATTGTTATTTTTTTGTCTGATTTTATAACTAAATGGGAAAATAATTTTATCTTTTCGACGATAGAATATAGTCTAGCAAAAACTAAATAAGTACTGATATAGTTCACAACCTAATGATTCTAATGAAATAAGATGCTTGTTTCTATCTCTTGTCACAAAAACCTTAGATAAGTTTACAAGAGTACTTGCAATTAGGTGCTATGAGGCATGTTGGATCTATCGGTACTTTACAGGATTTCAGTTTACCGTGTTAACTATTAATCTAGTCAAGTAACATTGTTCTACTGTGTTTTTTATGCGGAATCAGAATAAAATTTTTCCATAAAGTTTGAAAAAAAGACATAATCTAAATTTCATAATTTCTGAGAAAAAAAGCGAGTTTATAGGTACTGATGCTGCATTTTCAATCATTCGAATTTTGTACGGTTCTTTTCCGCGAAACAGTGGTCGCATAGAAGTAAAAGCCTTATATTCGTGACGAATTCGTCAAGCTCTATTAAACTATATGTATGTGAGTGGGAGAAAAGTCCGCTCAAGTTCTACATTAGTGGCATCTTATTTGAATATTCCTTCTAGGTCATGTCTCACAAAATAATAAAACATTGCTTAGTTGTAATAGAGAACATTAGGTTTTTATTTTTCACTTTTTACTTATTAATTAGAATGAGAACTCCTAAGATAATTAATTGACGATTTATTGTGAACATCCAAACGGATATTAGATGACTAATTGAAAGTTCACTTTCTGATGATTAACATGGAGTTACATGTACTTCGTTCTTTGGGTTATTTACTGACATAATAAAAGGTGTTGTTTCTTTTGCTAGCGTTAATTGAAAAGCAGAGGAAACTTCGAAAAATGTTCCTAATAAGTATTAGGAATAATTAAAAACATAAGCAGAAAAATTCAGAGATAGAATCGAACGTTCCAAAAGTGTGATTGGGTTCGGCTCAATTTGTTTTCTGTCTCAGAAAATGTGCCTGAGACAATTATATAAGCTGGCACTGTGTTTTTCACTCTATCGATTTGTAAACAACAACTTTTGCTTTCATTTGTTTAGGGTTCCAGAGAAGCCATTCTTCTTTAACATTGAGTGATTTTACTAAAATATTTGTTCAGTATAATGAGCTTGTATAATTCCCTACATTTTTATTCATAAGACTGATATAATATCAATGCGAGCGTGCGATAGCTGAATTATAATTTTTCAAAGTAAAGTGCATTTTTTCTCGATATGAAAACACTTTTATTAAAGACTAGCTTTATATTTGTAATTTTTATCGAAAACTACATCGAGTAATGCATAATTGATTACTCTTCTTGGAAAAAAATTGTTTGCATGCATATATATATATATATATATATATGATAAATGTCTTTCATAGCAATTTATTAATCGAATTTGACTTTTTCAAATTATTTTAACACTTGAAAGATAATAATGTTATATTGAGCACGATATAAGTACTTTGTAAGTCACTCAAGTGCATTTCTGTCTCCCCTAGTCTAACGAAAAATGTCGACTGTGCTATATGTAAAACAACAAAACAGAATATGAGTAATAAGACATCTTTAATTAAAGAAGTAATTTCTGTTGAAATAGACACTTGCCAGAAAACAGTTACTTATTGTTTAATAAAAATACAAAATGCCTGGAAAAAGTATTTAATATATTTAAATTTATTTGAACTAAACTGTATAACCTTTGTTTTCTTTTTCAAAGTTTATTTATTTCTTATTTAATATTAAAATTGTGCTCGAACATAAGTTAATTTTTGATGTATTTGAATTAATTTCAATAAATATTGTCGATCAAGTTTTTCAGCTGAAGATTGAGGTGTTTCACCACCATATGTCATATAAATTATTCCATCATCAAATGTTTTTATTTGTTCAAGTAAGTTCCATAAAATAAGTCCATCATCGTTATTTTCAATAGCTTGAAAAATTTGCCAAATCAAATGAGATCTATCTGCCATAACCTTGAGTTACTGTATTAAGTTTTACAACACAGTCGATATCAAGAGTTTTGTATAAAAATACACTTGTACTTAGTTTTATACAGTTAATTCATTCTGAAGTGTTTTTTTATGTCTCTGTGTTATCGTGTCGTTTTTTATACCATTAGAAAATGACTTGAGGTTTTTTTCCTTCTCTTTCTTTATACCTTGTACAAGTGAAAAGGCCAATTGCACATTTACGTCCTCCCTTTCATGTACGTTTTTTTTTGTGTCATAGTACATCATACACTTTATCATACAATACAATGACTGTTTCATGTTATGCGACAAGGCTAAAACTTATGTCATTATCATGCAACATGTTTTATGACTTAAGTGAAATCAAGTTCAATGAAAATTTCTTTATTGTTTAACTTTTTTTGAATGATTTACAAAGTATAAATGAAGGTTTTTTACTTTCATTAAAAGTTTATGTATACACTCATGACGCATTTATATTCACAACTCGATTACAATATATAAATTTACAATAAAAGATAAACATTTATCTGTTTTTTTTTGTTCTGTTTATATCTATCATAAATGTTCGTTTGATTATTCGTTTTACATCTCTGTTTTCGACGTGATTTTATGATTTTCACATTGTGCAAGAACGTTTTGTTGCTGTAATGATGATGCTTCTGCTTCTTCTATATCAGAAAGATTGTTGTCTTGATTCTGTTGAATTGATACTGGATTAATTTGATAATCATTATTGAAGCCGGTCAAAAATGTTGCTGATGCATTACAATTTAAACTTCGTCGTTTTCTTCGTTGAATATTTTTCTTCAGTAAATATTGTTGTTTACGTGAAAATAATGTTATAATTGTATTATAAAATTCTTCTCTAAAACGTCGATTTGTTAAAACATACAGAAAAAAATTTGTTGAAAAATATGTTTGTTGTAATGTATCAAGTAAAAGATGTGTAAATTTTACAATACATTCATCAATATTATTTCTATAAAATTTTTTTCCAAATGATTGATGAAAATAAAATGGTAAATTAAATATTAAATACAAAATATTTAATCCAATAAGCATTGCTGATAAATGTATGTCACGTATTCGTTTAATACGATGTTTTTTAATTAATATTGTTGAAGTGGTGGTTGTTGTTGTTATGTGTGAACTATCTCGTGTTAAAGAACTTGTTAATATTGTTGATTGTCGTTGTTCGTTTGATTCACTTTCGTCCTCATATTTTATTAAACTTTGTTTAGTTCGACCGATTTCTAAACGTAATTCTGTGTGACGTCGACATTGAATTTGAAAACAGAAACATGAATATATATTTGATTTAGTTGTTGTTTGTGGAATAAAACAAGAAAATATGTCTTGTATTCGTTGATAGATTTTTTTTTGTTTTGAATTATTATTATTTGTAGAATTTGATCGAGCAAAACGTTTATTTAAACGCATTTTTAAACGTAAACTTCGTACAATAAGAATTGTACATATAAGATTCATTAAAAGGGGAAGACAAAAAAATATAATTAATTCGAATAATGGATAGATTGTTGAAAGAAAATAATAATATGCTGGTGCTGTTCGATATTGATCATAATAACAAATTGTTTTTTGTACCTGACCATCAAAAACTAACAAACAAGAAAAAAGATCAGTATAGAAACAATAATAAGATTTCTACAACATTGAGAATATAAGGATGAGAACGGGGATGACATCTCATCTAATTTTAATTTATATTTAATTTTCTTCTTATTGATAAAGCTTTCGACAATGTGTCTATCGGAGGAGAGGTTCCGAAAGTAACTTGTGAATTTTATAAAAAAAACAAATATAATGAAAAATTAGAAAAGCTTTATTTGATCTCTTCAACGAATAATAAATATGAACCGTAATCGAAGTTCATTATTGAGCCATGTACTCTTCAATGGAAAAGTGCATTTAGATAGAATGCAAGGGCTCATGTATTGGTTAAAGAGAATTTGATTTTGATATTGAGATAAATCTCTTTTTGCAAAGAACGGCTTTTTTTTAATTCAAGAAACATTATACAAAGCTTGTTTTTGATCTTAGCTTAGAAAATTTGCTCTTCTAAAATGTCATTAAGTTTCATTCATAAGTCAAAAAGTATAACATTTTCATATCTATTTTCTTGAGTTTTATTTTAATTGTTATAGTATAGAACATAATTCATTTAGCATTAATAGATAATTGAACTTGACAGGATTCTTCTTATTAAATTATCATTTCTTTTTACAAAACAAATCTTTCATAACAGATAAGTTACTTATATGTGTATGTAGCATTGAATCCACAGGAAAATAGATAAGATTTTAGTCTTGAACAAAGTTCAGAACGTACGTTCCGATCTTAAAATAAAAAACCGTGTAATTACTTAAAATCGCTTGTTCTGATAGAGGGTTTCTAAGGAAAGCAACTTTCGGTAAAATTACAGCGAATTTGTAATAGGCATCATGATTGAAAATGAGCACATTTTTTTTCTCTGATGAATCAGGTCGTCAAATTTTATAAGTCACAGCACTTTCAAACAGAAACAGCTGTAAACCATAAGGATTTCTTCTGTGTTATCATTTATGTCGAATATAAGTCTTCGTAACAATCTGTACAATTTCAACTTTCTTATCATTAATGATTACCTACTAAAAAATTAAAATTACCTTTATGACCAAATTTGACAAGCCAATGAAAATGATAAGCACATAAAATAATAGCAATAACAAATTCTTTGATTAAAACCATACGAAATGTTGATTTTGAAAATTTTCTTTTTGGTCGATTTTTTGTTACTGTTCGTGCACGATCAATATTAACACATACTAATGTAAATAAACTAAAATGTGTTAAAAAATCTAATGTAAAATGATAAAAACGGCATGTGTATAAATTATTTTCAAAATGTATATTTAAATAATATGTTAACATCCATTGTATAAAACGTACTAATGATAACAAACCATTTGATAAAGATAAAAATGCTAAATAAGCAAATGTTGAATGACAACGTAATGAACGTTGCATGAGAACAATAAATGCAAAAATATTTAATATTGAACCAAAAACAAATAATGAATAATTATGAACAAATAATAATGGTCGAGAAATAACGCGTTGATTTGGACATGGATTTGTTATTTCCATAGGAATAATTAAAATACTATTCTTATCATAAATATTTGTAAGATTATTCGAATTCATTTTTTCTAGCTTGAAAAATAAAAATTTTTTATTTGCATTATTTAATACAAGACACAAAAAAAAAACATTAAATAAAAACTTCCTTCAATTAAATTGACATAGTCTTTCCTATTATAGTAATGCGAAACGTCTTAGAAATCTACAAGTGTTTCTGAAAGAGAACACAATAATAGAATATATACGTGTATATATAGAGAGATAAGATAAATAAAAAAATAAGAGAAATAGCATATCGAGAGAAAAGAGAAAGGAAAAATAAGGATGACAACGATGAAACATATTTTTTAAAAATGAACTAGATACTTCTAAGAAAACAATTTAATATTGCCGACATATTAGTGAACATAAATATAAAATGACTAGAAGCAAGAAGGAATGCTAAAAGAAACGACATAAAAGAAAACTTATCTATGAATTGCAATAAAAGAAAACTAACTTTATTGTTCTATCTACTAGGCAGAAACTGCGTTAATCCCTGGACTAACCCAATTCTCTAATTACAGATTTATTTGTCTTTCTCTTCGATAAAAAAAGATTATACATACATGTATCTTGCATGAGTACTGCAGTTTTGCATGATTTCTTTTAGCTGTTAACATATTCATCTCAAATATCTTTGTTGGTCGATTTCATTTTTCATGAAAGATTATATTGATGCTTTACAAGAGTAGAAGAGTTCGTTGAGGAAAACTACCTTACTATAGAAATGTGATATTTCACAACAGTTTATTCTAAAACTTTGCTTATTATTGTCGAATACGTGGCATTTTAATCTAAACTTCATTGTTCAGATATTATTAAATCGAAAACTTTTACAGATCGTTATAAATGAATACTATAATCTGTAGAGCATAAAATCATATTTCTGATAATTAAAAAAAAACCTACACCAAGAAAGAAAACACAATGTGTATTGACGTATATGACTCTGCCGACGTCTCAGATTATCGTGTCATTTGCCATATACTCATCATACTTAATAGAGAAATACTGAAGATCTTCAAAAATTACAAATATACTTATACGATTGATGCTCTTACGTATGTGAGATATTAGCTCTGTTTTTTTTTCTAGGAACTTCTTCTTGTTGAATAGATTTTTACGATTTCAATTATGAAATTAAATGGTTTCCCATTAACTTTAAAATCAGTCGTTTTTATTTGCTTCCGTTATGCATCAGCATAATAATACAGTAATAGCGAAAATAAAATAGTCTAATCATTTCCTACTTAGAAACTTTTCTTGTAGAGAAAATTGTCTGATAATAACAATTCTGCTTAGAGTTTTTATGACAGAAAAATCAAACAGCACATCATGACCTTATATAACACAACTAGGATAGTAATATGCTCATGAAAATCATTCATCCAATTGTAAAATATTAAAATAGCTTGACATGTGTTTTTTTCTTTAGTGACAAGAAACATTGAAACATTGGAAAAGAATACAACGAAGCATTATGAATTACATGATAAAAACAGAATACCAGAATGATTTATTTTTGTAAAGACTCATTTCACGGGAAAATACGATTAAAAAAAAAATTTCTTTACAAAAAATTGATAAACACAAAGATTGAAAAAACTCTAACTACTTTTATCCAAAGCGATTAATCATAGAATAATAATAATAATAATAAAGCAGATCACGGGAAGAAGATAAACAAACTAAATTAATTAAAAACGATGTCTTTTTCATAAATTAGTCGATCTATTCCGTACACATAAGATTATTGTTATGTGTTGATATTGATAAATTTATTGGATAATATTTTTGTGATTGATCTATTTGTTCTAGATTGTTTGAAATAGGTGATGAGGAATTCGATGATGAACTTGATCTTGGTGAATGTTGTTGATTTAAATTTTTATAATTATTTGTTGTCGTTGTTGTCCATAAATTCATAAGACGATCTAATGATGAATGTTGAAGCTCATTTGATACATTCGTCTGACACCCTAAGAATATTTGTTGATTATTCATCATTGTTAAATCATCATCACGTATAAGACGTTTTCTTTTATTGGGTTGACGACGTTTTAATTCAATTGGATATTTTTTTCTTTCATTACAAAATTTATAATATAATTTTCGAACTAATAATTCAATACTACCAATAACTGATACACAATGTGGATAACGATCAACTAGACGACTTACTATTGAACGAAGTTCATCTGCATTTGGATAGCTAAAATATTTCCAAATAAAATTTTATTTTCTAAAAATCTTAAAAGTATTTTATTTACAGTTCATATTTAACAATTTCTTGATATAACGCTTGAACAAGAGCATTTAATTGATTAGCATCACCATTACCATTAAGAAAAGCAGCTATATGAGGTGGAAAACGTGGTATTGGTATACCATCATTTGGTTTTGGTAATAGATCATACATAAGATTATGTTGGGCATGAGATATGTTATCAATGTGATGTATTGATGATATACTAAAATTTAAAAATGTGTTTTTCCTTGAAAGAATCTAATGTCAATAAACATACGTATTAAGTGATTCATCATAAATACGTTCGATTTTTATATTCATTTGTGATGATGATTCACTTTCATCATGTAAATTATTTGTATTACGATTTGCTACAACATCGGCTGTTGCTTGTAATGGAATTGGTGTTATTGAACGTGCTGTTGTTGTTATTGTATGAGATGAAACTGGTGTTGATGGACTTTTGGAAATCAGTGATGATGAATCTCCAATTGAGTTCATATCTTTTTCACTAGAAGGCATAATTCAATTTTATTATTTCTTTCTTTTTAAATTTATGATTAACATGACATTTACAATTTATAAAATGTGGCTTGTTGCTATTTTAAGATTACAAAAGATATGACTTCCGATAGTGTTTCGATTAGGTACTCGAAAAACGTGATTTTTCTATTAACATCCGCCTTTTATGTTACCCATAGTTCTTTTTTATTAGACTTTTTAGCATCATAAAAAAACAAAAAAAGATGACCCAAGAAAAGGAAATGAAAACAATTACTTAGGCACAAAAACTCGAAAATTTTGATATTTATATTATAATAATACTACATAGTTGTATATTTATCTAATGAATAACTGATTTATTTCTGTCACATAGTTGCATTTTTTTTATAATTTGATACTATAATTGGTTTGTTTTTTTTTACCAGTATTGTATTGGTTTCGATTTTATCAAATAAAATTTTCCAATGATTAGATTCTTTTTGATTTTTTTTAATAAGCTTCTTGATAATCATTTGCTTGAAATGTCAAAGACATAAATGATGAATAATGTCATGAAAGTAGAATAGAATTGTTTTCATGATGAAAATACATCTGCATAGTTTACAATTAGTTCTTTGAGCATAAATAAGATACTTTGTAGTCTATTTCAATACTATCATGCGATATATTCAACTACTAAAATTTCCACAGAAACCTGAGAATCAACTATTGTATTACTTATTTTGTTTTGTCATTTGCGTATGTGATTCTAAATATAATTACTCATTTTATTAAGTATTCAAATCATTAACAACATGTTTATCGTCTTCGATGCGTGTTTGATTATTAAAAAGTTGGATAAAATAAATAGCAGAAATACATGAGATTATCATGCGCTTTAACGCATGCTCATACATTGTTGTGTAAGCATTAAAAGATACATGTCGCTCCATCTTACAATTAGCAGTAGGATCGAAGAAACGTTGTTCAACTTTCGAAACATAGTAATAGAGCAAAAACAGAATATAGAGGTATACGCTATACTTAAGTGTGTACAAAAGTCAAGGACAGTTTAGCAGATGTTTCGTAATAATATAATTTACTAATAATTAAATCTTCTCCGAAGTTTTCAGAATTCTTAATTTATCTTTCTGCTGATAGTTTTAGATTTTTATCGTTTCATAAGATGCAAAAGTGCGTAATAAGGAAAATGAAATAAAATCTTATCGTTTTCTAATCAACAAAGAATGAGTGCATCCAAATAATTGCAATATTTCAATAATATTTCTTGTATGTATAGTTGTTTAATAGAAAACGATGAAGCTACTACTATAATAAAAGAGACAATTAATCAATCTATGTTTCTGTTTATGCACTCCTACCTACTTTTAATGAACTTCGATGATGAAAGATGCTAATTGTAATCAGTGAATGTGAAAGAAAAGTAAAAGATAACTATCACACTAATCCGTAATGAACTTTGATTGTACGATTATTTTTATGATGGTGGACAAGTGTTTCTAAAGTGTCTGTCACTTCTGTAGGACGACGGAGTTGATGGCTCTAAAGACCAAGGCTCCTATGAAAGCGTTGCGGACTTGTTTGATTTATAAGGACCCATCTAATTGAGATATATTCAGGAATTGAAGATCATTGTCGTACTAAATTCGAGGCATTTTGATTCGATCATAATTGTGAATATAGCCTATCTTTACAAGATAGTAAATGAGTACTTAGTTATTCATATTAGTCAATAATTTCTAGATCCGTTTTACAAAAAAAGTAAATAAAGTTGAATAGTAATTCAAAATTACTTTGACAGTACTTTTTCAAATGACATTCTCATAATAGAACCATTCATTTAAAATAAATTTTCTGAATCTGTTGAACCGTGAGTCAATTTTCTATTTGCTTACACTTTAAGTTTGAATTATATATAAACACTCATCATTTAGTTATCGTGTTAATGAAACTTCTTCTACACTTAATTAGTTAACTTCGTAATCAATAGAGATTTCCGTGCTCTAGGAAACGAGCTACTTTGTAACGACTAAAATAATGGATCATATCATTAAATTCTTAATGTATTATTCGTGAGGCACGATTTTTGAACTTTTCTAACGACTTTCAAGAAGAATAATAAACACTTCACTTCAAACAAATATCATATGTGGAATCAGTACAAAAATTGAACCGACTTACGTATGTTTCAAAGTCTTTTTGAGGCTGTTTTCTGACTCAATTTTCACCGCTAGATCCCTGGAAGATATGTGAAAAAATAAATTTAATTAAAACAATTATTTTATTGTCTAGTTGCTTGCTCTTTTTTCTGCAAACAGCATTTTACACGTTTAGAACTTGCTTCCCACTGCCACGATGATTTTTTGACTAAATTAATTTGTTTCCATATATTTGAGGAATTCAGGGGTGCCACTGCGATCAAACAAGATCGTCACAGAAATAGTTTGAAATATACATAGTTTTGCTCAATATTTTGTGTTGATTCCAAATATGATATTTGTTTGAAGTGGAGTTTTATTATTATGCTTGAAAATCGTCAAATATCAGTCGAAAAAGTTCAAAATTGTGCATTACAAATAGTACACTAAGGACTTTGTTATATAACCCATTATTTTAGTCGTTACAAAGTAGCTTGTTTCCTAGCACACGAAAAGCTTTCTTGATTGCGAAGTCAACTAATCAAGTGTAAAGGAAGTTTCATTAAAACAATAATGAAATGGCAAATGCAGTGTCTTCGAATTGTTCTAACTTCAAGTGTAAGCAATGGTAAATTGTTACACGATCCAGTATATCCAAAGCATTATATAAAATACATGCTTTTATTATGAAAATGTCGTTTCAATCAGCACCATCAAAGCAACTTTGATTTATTCTTCAACTTTTCTTGTTCTCTGTAAAACGGATCCACACATTACTAAGTATTAATAATAACGGTCGGCTCATTTACTATATTGTGAAGATAGACTTTATTCACAAATATGATAGAATCAAAATGCCTCGAACGTAGCATGACAATGATTTGTCATTCTGTATATAACTCAATTAGATTGCATCTTGAAAATCAAAAGAGACCAAAATGTCTTTTTGAGCGCCTCTACACTGCAGCATTCTTTTCTGATCGTGTCTCACGAAAGCTTAATTAATAATAGAATATTCATATAAAAACAAATTACCATGCTTTTACGTCATTTCATTAAAGACATAAATAAAATTTCTCATCGAATTTACACTTATTAATTTTAATCAACTCAACATTTGAAATATCTTAGGTATCATTTAACTTACATAAGTACTTGTAAACGACCTTCAAATGGTATTCGTTTAAATGATTCAATGTCAATATATTCTTGATATTGCTCATTCCACATTTGAATAATTAATGTTGTTTTTGTTATGTGTTGTAATTGAAATTCTTGCACTAAAACGTAAACATTAATTCTCTTTGAAACTGAAAGCAAAAATAAGGAAAAAAAACAAGAATGATCTAACTTATTAAATGTTTAAGATGTTCATGTGAAATTCCATTTTGTTGATGATAATATTCACTTGTTATTGGTATTTCAATTAAACGGTTTCGTTGACAAAATCGACATAAATAAATCATTGGTGTTAACTCCAATGATGATCTAAGTAAAATAAAACATAATATAATCAATGAAATTTTTTTACAAAATTCTGTTTATTTTTTAATTATGAATATTTCTACTTTTTTGTTATCGATTTTTTTTTTTAATATTATTATTATTAATAAAAGAAGATGAATTTACTACAACTAATAATGAATTATTTTTATTGTTACTATGCAAATTATTATTAGTTAATATTCTATAAAAAATTAAGTAATGCGGTAATATTATCAACTAGTTTAAGTGTAGCTTCTAAATCAACATCCAGTGATGTTGTATCATTTGCAATGTTTTCTTGTATTGATAATGTTGTTGAAGTTGATGTTGATGATTGAGAATTCGAATTATGATTATTTACAAATGAATTTAAAGTTTTTCTTGATTAGATACTGAACTCAAATCATGTATTGTTTTTGTTTTAGTAACTGATGACATGATATATTTAATTTAAATGTTATGAAAAATAGACGAACGAAAAAAAAAAAGAATAAAATGAAATAACTGACAACATGACACAAAGATGAATGCATATCAGTGTCAACTAGAGACCTGCAATAGACTCCGAAAAATGACTCCGACTCCGACTCCGGCGGAGTCGGAGTCGGAGTCGGAGTTAAAAACCAAGATTTTTTCGGAGTCGGAGTCGAACCGGAGTCAAACTTTTTTTTCGGAGTCGGAGTCGGAGTTGATGTAAAATTTGGTAGACTCCGAAAAGTTTTTTTCTTTTCTTACATAACATTATTTTTCAAAATAGTAACGTCAAGTAAACGAAAACTTGGTGGAAATTATCCCAAACTTCACTTGTATTTTATCGTCTTTCTTAGGTACTACTTTGATGGATCCATTTTCTTATTTAATTAGACTTGCAATTTCTTCTCATGACAAGAGCTTCGCAGTTATTCCAAATAAAGGGTGGTCACAAAATTTCGATTCCTGTCTCTAGATTGACGTTATTTACATGAAATACATATATAGACAGTTGATCGAAGTATACAATTTTGTAGAGAATGATTAGAGCTATTATCTGAAAACAGTTCGTTCAAACTGTGTCGGACTAATCAAAATTTATAGTCATTTTATTAATCTTGATTATGTATTTTCCATCTTACATTTTTTGTAGAAGCAAAAGTATTCTTGTACTCGTTGAGTTGTTAAGATCAGTCAAAATATTGTTTGCTGTCTGGTTTCTTTTAGTTATTTTTACATGGTTCCATAGAATTTGACTAGCTCTACAAGAATATAGGTGTTAGAAAAAATTCTAATTCGCTCTCCAATACAAAACTTGAGAAAAGTCAGAAACACTATTGAAAATCTGGTATATCCTACATTGAAAGAGTATACTTAACTATCAGTAACTCCAATAGATCAACTTTTTTGTCTGTCAATTTATGTTTCGAGGTGTGTTGTCACATACTAAGAGTGACAGTGATTTTTCTGAGCATCAAGAACAGACGAACAATCGATCAAATAAAGTTAGCCAAAGTTAAGCATGCTCTCTCTAATGCAAGATATGTGAGATTTTTATTATTTTTTTCTAATTTCCTCCAAGTTTTATACAAGAAATAGGATTAGAACTGTTTGTGATATTCATATTCTTGTAGAAATTGACAAACCATCTCCAAACATATAAAATTATCTAGAAAGCAATAATTCTCTTCAAACTTTATAAAAATATTTTTGTGTTTACAAAAAATGTAAGATGGCAAATGCATAGTCATGATTAATAAAATGACTATAACTTTTGATTAGTCCGACACAGTTTGAACTAACTGTTTTCAGATAATAACTCTAATCATTCTCTACAAAATTGTATACTTTGATCAACTGTCTATATATGTATTTCATGTAAATAACGCCAATCTGGAGACACGGGTCGAAAATTTGTGACCACCCTTTATATTTAATATTTAAAAAGAGGTTGAAAATTTAATCAGCTTTAGTTTTTTTATCTAATATTTTGCATATCTATTTATTCGTGCACAATAATCGCCAATCAGACTTGATTTGTGATGGTAAACTAACTTTAAATTACATAATATCTCCATACATGTGAGCTGCTGCTGATTTACAATAGGAAAAATTTTCGGAGTTTTTCGGAGTCGGAGTCGGAGTTATTCATAAAAAACTTTCGGAGTCGGAGTCGGAGTCATTTAGAAAAAAAAACTCCGGAGTCGGAGTCGGAGTTACATAGGAAAAAAATTTCGGAGTCGGAGTCGGAGTCGGAGTCAAAAAAGATTGACTCCGCAGGTCTCTAGTGTCAACTCTTTTTGTTTAAGAATATTTGATCACTTACCGTGATGAAAATGATGTTTTACGAAAAATTGTGGTTTTTTTATTCATCATTACTCAATGTTAAATGAAGATGTATTGAGAGTATGCATTTTTTTTCCACGAAAAAAAAAGACATATATATATATATATAAATATACGAAATAACAAATAAAATATCTTTTATCCTTTTGACGGTATCGTTCGTGTCGTTGGCACATACATTCGGCAACTTAATACATCAGACATCACCTGTGCTATGTGAGAGTATAGGTAGAACTTTGTGCCAGAATAAAACCATAAGCAATGATGAGAGAATAATATGTTTTGTTTTTATTCAAATCGACCGTTACATGGTTAAACAATACTAAATTTAATCTTTAAGTTATATAGACATAAATCTGTATCCATACGATAGTCTATTTCGATATTATCAGTTGTCCGTATCACTCGAACATATATCCAATTACATTTCTCTCATAAAATCTCTTTTTTTACCATCAAATATGATACTATCAAATAATTTATTTTTTTTTTCTTTCGAAAAAGAAAACAAAATTTTTATTTTTAACAAAAACAAAGAAAAAACAACAATAGTGTTTTTTTTTTCTTCTTATTTTTCTGACTGTTGATTGTTATCAGTCAATTGAAGATATGCTAAAGCATTTTCTTGACATGATCGTAAAACATGTGTATCCAACTGGAATTTTCCACTTAAAATTTCTTCACATTGCTGTCGAATATGTTTATCCGATGTTGTTCTTAACAACACTAATTCATATAATGTTGCATTTTGTGCATGACAATATTCGGGATCATTTAGTTCCCAAAGATATTTTATTCCTGAACCTGAAAATTCATTATCAAATAATTGTTCAGTTACTAATGTTGAAATTGTTAATAATGCTTTAATCATAACTAAAACGGCACTAATCGATTTATTTAATTGTAAATGTAATATCATTGTTAATAAACGTTTTATAAAAGCAAGTAATTTATTTTTTGATAATTGTTTATAACGATCAATTAACATTAATTGTATAAGTTTAATAACAAGATCAATGTCCATATCAGATGGACATGGTAAAAGTAATGAATAAAATAAAGCATAAAATCTTTGTGGATCAATATGTATTAATACTTGTTGACGATTTAATATTGAAAAAACTGTTATTAAACAATGAAATTTAGCACGTTGATTTAAACCAGTTTGTTCTGATGATAATTCATCATAAAAACATGTTATTAAATCATCCATATATTCAATATTAATTAAATTAGCAAATTTAGCTAAACCTTCACATACACTTGGCATTAAACGTAAATTAAGACGACGTTTTAATAAACGAAAATAATTTAAAAAAATTAATTCAATTATTTGACGATTTAATTTTAAACGATGTTCTTGACGATTAGCTAAAGTTTTATTTTCAAGTAATTTAGTTAATTCTTGTTTTTCTTTATGTTGACGACGATCACGACGTGATAATTTTTGTGAACGATAATCTGGTTTTGATGCTTTTTCCAATTTTTTTTCTTCTATTGGAGATATTTCACGAATATTAAGTGAAAGAAATACATCGAGTACACATGGTTCAACAGCATATGAACGAGTTTTTAATAAACGTGTTACAAAACGAACAACTTCAAGAGATAATTCACCTGTATGATCATTACGGAGGAGATCCGAAATACAATTACAACATTGTTGTTGTACAACCGAATCACTAGAAGTAAAATAAGATTTGTATATTAATTCAAGAAGTTCTGATCATGACATAAACAGAAAAATAAGAAGACTATAGAATTTACGTCAGAGATTGACAATGGTCAGTTTGTAACTTTACAAATTAATCTTGATTCTAATTCGGCTTTTAGGTGAACCAATGCAGCTTAGAGAACAGTATATAGAGAGATCTAAGATGTTTGCTCACATGAACCTATTTTAATTAGAAAATTTCATTGAAAATATCAAAGTACGGTTCGATCGAGTGCCAACTCAAGAGTTTTGAACCTGACAGGCTTTGTTTTCTATAGGCGCGAGCAAATATCTGGCTTCTTTATGGAGAAGTCAACAAAAGAAATGTCGCAAGTAGCAAAGAAAATATTCATATATCTTCTTATCTTTCGTCATCTAAGAATATGAATCAACTATTTATATTTGTTAGTATTGAAATAGGTATTTAACTAATTCTTAAACAAACTAAATTCAATAGAATATGAATATTCCTTCTGAATAACATGACCAAAAGAAGACATGAATCTATTTACAATAAACTTTCTCTCGTTCTTGTCATCGTAGAAACTCCTGAATTTTTTTATTGTTTCTCATAGGATAAGTGTTTTAGAGTGATCTTCTGTTTGATTGCTCCTTTTTTTCTTACTCTTAATTAAAAAGTTTTCCAAGAAAATCCAACAAATTGGAGAATATTTCAAAATTAAAAAAAAAATGCAAAAAAACATTTTGACTTTACTCGTTATTGACTACCAGATCAGGGTACACGAAACGAAACATATTTCTAATTAAATATATTAATTAAAGTTAAAAATTTCTTAATTAATCAAATTACAAAGAAAGAGTTATCTATCATGTCTGAGGTGTTATCTCTTCACTTAATGTTCTACTATAGAGAAGAGTGAAATGATGATCGTTTGCATAGAGACAAGCAAGTTAACGTAAAGATTAGATAGTTTCGATTATCTTCGATGAAACTCAAACAAAATTTCTTCTTTTAATTTGGTACAGTTTAAATATATGTTCGATCCAAGAAGAAACCTTTCGCTTCATACTGTCACATGGATCAATAGTCTGCATCGTTTTGATTGTTTTTCGTTAACGATGTTTTTCTTTTCACTTTTCTAATAACCTATGATGATCTTTATAATCGAGGAAAGATCAAAGTTTTGCAAGGTGTTCAAAACATATTATTAATCACATTAATGATATTCTAATAATTCAAATAGAATACTGTAAGTAAACAATTTAATGTATATGTCAAGACACTAGTATGACATATTTATGCATCAGAGAAATCGACAGTGATATAAGTATCGAATCATGCTCTTTTCCCCAGATAAAATTTCCATAAGTCTAGATTTGTAAGACTCATTTCTTTAGTGTTCAATTAGACTTCCGATGACATTTAACGATGCAAAAATCATGCTACCAAATGTTAACTATTAGATTCCTTCATCAATATGTATTAAAAGAATATTCTCGTCTCTTTGAAGCAGTATCTGATTTTATATTTGTCTCATATTTATAAAATGAGGCGATAAAAAAGAAAAACACTGACAATAAGAATTTGTTATGTTTGCAGTAAAGTCTCTCTATGTGAGCACCTGTTTATTCTGAGTTGTAAACGCTTATTTCTGATCACATCAGCAATAAAAACTTCTGTCATATGAGCAAGATATGTTTTATCACGAATTTACAGAGCAAGAAACAAAATGATGTTATGTACTATGATAAACAAACATGAAAAAATTAGGAAAAGGAGATAGACTAATCGTGGATAATTATAAGAAGAAAAAACAATATTACACAACAACAACAACACTGCTTTATGTAACATCTCGTAGTTTTTATGTTAACAGCGAGTAATATCAAATTGTGTCAATACGAGTTGATTTATCTCTGATTAAAAAAGTTATATTAATTAATTGTTGAAAAGAAGAAAAAGATCATTTGGTGTGGCTGACAAGCGATTACAGTTGAATACTTATAAATTGCAAAAAAGAAACTGAAAACGTTCGAACAATAATTGTGTCCATAAAGTAAGCACTATTAACCGATTTTTCTGTATGTAAATTTGATGATAGTTAGTTTTAATTCACTTTCGTCTATCTTGTATCATTTTACTTAGAAATGTGTGATAAATGTGAATCATATATAATTCAACAGAGAATAAAAAAAGTTCATATCAATCGATAAAATTATCTTTTTAGTATACGTTTATGAAAATAATATAAAGTTGATCTTTTATTTTTCTTATGGTTTCATTATCTATAATATTTGAATATTTTTAACAAGACAATTTTCTCTCTTACCTACTACCCATGAATTGTATAATAACATTAAGTAAATTAGTTCGAAAATTGAAATGATGTAAAGAAGTTAATAATTTGCATAAACATTGAATAGCTAAATGTCCAAGATTAAGTTTCGAGGATTCCATGATTTTTATTTGATTATGTTTAGTTTTTTTTAAATGATTATCTGGAAGATTTTTTTTTGCACATTGTTCAAGAAAATGAAGAAAATCTTGATAATGTTTAAGTAATGTTTGTTCAAAATGTCGAATTATTTTAACATCTTTAGATAAAATTTCTTTTTTTGTTTGTTTTTTATTTTTCATATTTTTAATTTCTTCATTTTCATCTTTAGTTTGTTCTTTTAATGAACGTATACGATAACCAGGTACAATATCACGAAATAATTCAACTAATGAAAGCATTGTTAATTTTCTTATTGTCATTGATATTAATGGATCACCAAGATTAAGTAATAGACGTAATTGTTTTAAATTTGATATTTCTTCATAAGGACTTTTCATAATTAAGTCACATAATGTAACAATAGTTTGTTTGGTTTCATTTAATTTTTTATCACGTTCAGCTATTAATTCAACAACAGAAACAGGTTTTGATGGTGGTGATGGAGAAGAAATAGATGATGTAGGCTCTTCTTCTTCTTGTTCGTCTTCATCATCTTCGATTTCTTGTTCCACTATGGGTGTTGATTGAGCAATTAATTGTCCACGATCAGTTTTAATTGGTAATAATGGTCTTTGTTGATTTGTATTATTAAATGATGAACGTGGTAAACGCTCGTATGATTCAACATGTTCATTATCATCTTCATCATCTGTTTGAATATTGATTTGTTCATTTTCTTCATCCGAAAGCATATCTAATGGTAAAATAAGACTATCATCATCATTATCTTCGTTAATATCAGTATCCATGGTTGACATTTGCGACTGTTTTTTTGGTTGTGTTTTGTTTTTTTGATAAATTGATGAATTCTTTTTTAATGGTATGTTAAATTTAACTTTTTGATGAAATTTTTTTTCTTGTTTAGAAATTTTATCAAGATTTGCTGGTTTTTTCTTTCCACGTGTCATTTTTGAACGTGATTTAGGTTTGATAGGTTTTTTTGAAGATTTGACCATTTTTTTCTATCAATCTAAAAATTTTTCATACACTGTATGAATAGCAAAGAGGTTAGAGTTTTTATTCGTTGGTGGAAAGGAATAATCGAATATAGATCAAGCCTTCAATATGATTAGACATGAGCGACATCTCAAGAATATATTTATTACTAAACATAATTAAAATATAGTTTTTTAACATTCGATAGAGATGAATTTTCACGAGTATCTCATTATAATAATAAGGAAGTGTGGGCTATGTAAAGTGCAACCCAATGATTTTTTTATTGCGTATTGATGAAGAGTTTTGGAGCAGAAATCTTTTCTTTATTGACCACATTACCGACGGGAAATTATGGACGTCATGACTTTATTTTGTTGTCCTACTTAAAAGAATCGTTGCTTCTATAACTTGAGTTGTAATTGTTCGTAATGTTGGTACCTATATGAATAAGTCAATCAGGAAGAAAAAACAATTAAGGTTAAATATTCACTGTTCGATTTACTAAAGTTGTTGTTGATGATTGTGATGTAGTACTTGTTGTTACTGTTGTATTTGGTTCAGATGCTGTATTATATGGCCAAAAAGTCTTATCTGTTATTTCCATTGAATCTCGCAAACAAGTTGCTATAGGTAAAAATACACCTGGATCTATTGAAATATAATAATTTTGTCCAGGACTAAAAGCAACATTTGATAAAATAACCAAACGATCTGAAAGATAAATCACATTGGTTGTTTGTTTTGCTACATTATATGTAACAAAGTCTTGTTGAGTCGAAGTGATTTTAAAACGAATATATGCATCAGTAGTTGGTCGTACAAATGTTGTTGTTGTTGGATAGAGTAATGTCCAATTTGATTGATATTTTGATACAAGACCCATTGGAAAATGAGTTGCATTGTTAACATAGAGAGTATTACGACTATCAGAAGCTAATTGTACTGTAAAACGGAGACAATTTGAATCCCCTTGATTACCAATTGAATCAACACCAGCAAAACAAAATAAATTTTGACCTACTTGATTTGCATTACCTGTATAGGAGACTTGAAAAATATTAATAGTTGGATCGTGTGGATCTGCCT